GGCCTTCGCTCAAGTATTTGAGGTCCGGGTTTACGGTGTCGTTGAAAGACCACTGGAAGAAGATTTGTTGGGGTCGTGCGTCCACATCACATAATATTTTGGCCGTCTCTCCCAAACCTATGCCGTACACTATTTTCTGACCACTTTTACAAACCGGTGCATCTGTTTAATGCATAAACACATGGGATTTAAATCATACATTTATTATTGGTTTGATATATTAATATATGGTATAAAAATCATCACTTAATAGCCTTTTTAATGCTTAATTTTTATAATTTCTGTAAAATTCTAGCAAAACGTTAAATAATTAGCTTAAACTAAGCAACTATTAGACAATTCATATAATATGAATCACCCATAATATAATTAAGCATATTGTTATTTTTAAAACTATTTCATTGTTAAATTATTTATGAACTAACAACAATTTATTACAATTTTGTTATGAAAACTATGTTTATGGTTGAATTGTATTGTAAACTATATATCAAATTAAGTTTAACTAAAAATAAAAATTAGATTCATTTATCATTTTATATTTACAACAAGTTTATAATAAAAACTGAAAAGTATATAATATTTTATTTATTATTTTTGATAAGAATTCAACAAATTATTTTAAAAGTATAATCAATTATATTATTCTCACAATTGTCACTATAAATAACTATTTGTGGTCACTATTCGTAAACTATATCGCAGTGATTAAAAATAAAAAACAAATGTTTGTTAACTTTTACTATATATCTCGAGTCTAGACTTTTAAATTAATTAACTGCTATTTGAAAAGCGAATAAAAGATTTTAATATTTTATAAATTCCTTGTTTTTAAAAGAATTTAATTTTCAATACAAAAACTTTAATTAAAAAACTTTATGACACAAAGATTTTTGAATCTTTTCTCAATTTTTTCATAACAAAAATAGAGAGAGAGAGAGAGAGAGAGAGAGAGAGAGAGAGATACGTACAGTCGATGGTTAATATAAGATCATTACTCTTTCCCCTTCCGACTGAATTACTGGCCAAACAGTAATACTTGCCCTCGTGTTGGCTGCGGATCACATTTTTTATAACAAGACTCGCATTGTTTACATAAATGCCTGTATTTGAGACAAACATTCAATATAATAGTAATTGGAAACATAAATATAATATTTAGTTCAAATGAAAAATACATGTCATGTAATTCAGAGACTAAGACAATGAAAACTAATATAAAAGCTGCAAAATAAGAGACAAAAAGAACATTTCTAATAAATACCAAATATCTAATGGTTATAGAAGTGGACATCGATTAACAGAAATATTGATTCATTTCAATCAATAGTTTTGAATTTAACTCATTTATCATTTCCTTTAATACATCGATAACAGACTCACTGATGGCTATTAAAGAGAGTTTAAGAAAAAACTTTTGAGCAACAAAAAAATGCTTCATATTTATTATTGGTTTTCCTCACAAAACACTAAAAGGCAAACAAACGGAGAACGAAATGAAAAATTATTTGTTTCACTGGATTTTTGAACCCAAAAAATGTTGTTTAGAGGCTCTTATTGTGTTGAATACCTTTAAGGGAATCGGTTTTAATCATTCTTTGCTCATAAAACCAGTTGTGATCGAGTATTGAAGGGTTGGCTTTGGTCTTGCAATCCATGACAATCTCATTTCCTTCAGCGACTATACTATTCTTGTTGTTTGTTGTCATCACTAGACTTACTCGAGGCTCGTCTGAAATGGCATTACAATAAATATATCGTTAGTTAGTATACATCTAATCGTTTTAAAAACTTTAACTATTTTCCAACTCTATTGTTGAGGAATTTATAATATACTGTATATAACACGAGAGAAACAAATCTCTCGTATTTTGTATTTCTTTTCATTCATAATGTTATTCACAAGAAAATAACTTATGATTAAAATATTATCAAACAATAGAGAAAAGTGTGCTTAATATCAAATCACATGAGAGTTGTTTGTTTTGGACTCAACACTAGAATCGCTAAAACAGAATATATTCTTCAGTTATTCTCCACTCGAACACAATATAAGGCAAAAGATGTGACGGTTTTACAAATGACTTCAAAAATCAAAGCATTATATGAGTGACTGAGAGGAAGATTCCCTTCCATTCAGTTTACTCACTAATGACAGCAAAACTTTCCAATAAATGGTTTTTTGTGCCATTGTTTTGTCTCTTCATATCAAATATTGTTAAACAATTACCTCAACGGC